ATAACCCAGGGACCTTAATATCCAATTTATTTAATGATAAAAATATAACACATAACTATAGCGCATATCCCCATATGACCCAAGGCGCTTCATGGTAAGTTTATTAACTAATTAAATATAAATTAACAGCCCAAGCGCCTATCACCAGATGACCCGGGGCGCTTACTGCCCACTGGTTAATAAAATGAAAAATACTACAATAGTACGGCATTTAATGTGTAGCAAAGTAATTACTGGGCATTTAATAGGATTTTAATTGTATAATACAAAAAAAACCAACAAATAAGTAGTGCTGTATGTATAAGTAACCTAACGTACTAATTGGCCAACTACTGCAATAATAATAATTATAAAACATTATAAAGGCATACTCCGATGTGACTTAGAACATTTTAAAGCAATTTTGAGTTAACAAAAAATAGAACGGAACTTATGCTAATCAGGAAACTAAGGACGTTATACAGCTTGTTGTTGATTTTTAAGCCATTTATTTATACCATCAGAGCCAGAAATTTGATTTTTTTCGTTTGTTAACAAGCACTTGTGTTGATAATTATTAACCAGACGATTTGTAAACTAAAAAGCAAGTATTTGAGGTCATCTGGGGATATAGGCACTCAGTTTATTAATAAACAAATTGGCCAGTAAAAGCTACCCAGGTGATCTGATGATTGGCGCTTGGGCTGTTAATTTATATTTAATTAGTTAATAAACTGGCCAGTTAGCGCCCTGAGTCATCCGGTGATAGGCGCTTGGGCTTTAATTTATATTTAATTAGTTAATAAACTGGCCAGTTAGCGCCCTGAGTCATCCAGTGATAGGTGCTTGGGCTATTAATTTATATTTAATTAGTTAATAAACTGGCCAGTTAGCGCCTTGAGTCATCCGGTGATAGGCGCTTGGGCTGTTAATTTATATTTAATTAGTTAATAAACTGGCCAGTTAGTGCCCTGAGTCATCCGGTGATAGGCGCTTGAGCTGTTAATTTATATTTAATTAGTTAATAAACTTACCATGAAGCGCCTCGGGTCATATGGGGATATGCGCTATAGTTATGTGTTATATTTTTATCATTAAATAAATTGGATATTAAGGTCCCTGGGTTATGTGGTAGTTTATAGGCTCATTATATTTGTGTGTTGCAAGTCGTTTGTATCTTTATTTTAAAGATTTTGCAATCTGATGAGTATGATTTATGTATACAGTTATGAGTTGAGCGTGTATTTAAAATATTGTTAGGTTTTATTTATTTAAAGTATGGTGTTATTTGGATATTTGGCACTGGAGAAGAGTAAATGCACTTACTTTTGTGTATACACATTTACATGTATCCATAAACATGCTCACGTATATATACATACAATAAAAGTAATAAAAATTTTTAGAAATAAATGTCGTTTGATAAAGAAATCAATTTATTTGTCCATTACAAAGTTTTCTTTTTAAAAGAAAGCTAAATCTATCGTCAACACGTTGTTGATTTTGAAAATCTGCTATAAAGGCACACACATCCATCATTCGTACTCTCTCAAGTAAAGAAACGGAAATCTCGTCTTGTGTTCCTTGGCCAGCTACCAAAGTGACCAGCTGATACTCGCAAATCTATCAGCAGCTTACCGCAAAGTTTATGATAAAGCTGAATTAAATATGTACAGGGCAATAGGAAAGGAATCGATAGTTTAATTAACTGTTTGGGGCTCAAAGGGTCAAACGATTGACGAATTTTCATATTACCATAAGATGTGACTATTTATGAGAAAAGTTGCAACAGTCGCATGAGCGTACATGAATGCTATTTAAAACTTTGATTGTTTCTTGCAATTGGAAGAATGAGGACTTGGCAAAAGACGTACTTTCCCTGATTCCCGCTTGTTGTCGTTCACGACCACGTGATATGACTAATTAATACAAACTCGTAGAGCGGACACGGGCAGCAGAGGCAAGACGGGATCTCTAATATTAGATAATTGGGTTTTACAAATATGGCAGTACATATATAGCAGTAAAAATATCGTTAAGCTAATTATTATCCATACATAAAATGCGGTTCGTACTGTGATAATAAATGCTGATAAGGAAAAATCGGAACTAGTGTTTTGTACCCTTTAATCAGAATTAATTCAGTTAATTTCATAATTTTTATTCGACAAGTGGCTAATTCTTCTTTTTCCTAAATGCAATGCACTTTTTTCAAGATTATAATATATTTAAGTGATTTATTTGGATAGTGGGTCACAGTAAAACAGATGCTTATTAATTTTTTTCGTACAAGTGTAGAGTATTAATTCAAGGCAATGAGTTTTCTTATGTATTTTTGTTCTAATTAAGAGCAAAACATTAAATGATTTCTAATTTTTAACGTTAGTTCAATTCGTTAAGTTTTTATTATTAAATTGTGTGAATAGGTTTTGTAAAAGGCAAAAAGACTTTACTAAATCACTCGTTTCTTATTAACACTTATGATGAGAAAAATTCTGTTTTATTTCCTAATATCGTTTTATAACTATTAATGAAGTCAGGGTCAGAATTTGAGTGTAAAACATTGTGTGTACGACTTTATTATCCTGACCATGAAAAAAAAAAAAAACTTTACACATGGTGCACGTAATTGAATGTAACAAATTTCTTGATGTATTTACTATTAAGAGCATATATAAAAACTGATCTCTAACTTCTATTAATTTATATATTATAATTATACTCACATGTAATATTTGTTACCTGTGCAACTAAACAAAAAAAAAAGTAGTTTTAATTACTAATGAGTCTCGTAGAGGCCATAAAACGGATTAACGAAGGGAAGGAAATTGTAGCGTTAAAAATCCGTTTCTAGTGTCTGCTGAGTAGTTTTTACTCAATTTATGATTGACTTGGTATTTTAG